CGAGTTCCTTCACATAATCCAAAAATAATTATTAAAATAATATACATGGGATTCCAGATGTTACATACAACCACAAATTAGTCAATAATCAATTCTTTCATATATATATATATATATATATATATATATATATATATATATATAACTCGCCGAGTTCCTTCACATAATCCAAAAATAATTATTAAAATAATATACCTGGGATTCCGGATGTTACATACAACCACAAATTAGTCAATAATCAATTCTTTCATATATATATATATATATATAAAACTCGCCGAGTTACTTCACATAATCCAAGGTTTCAACTTTGCTACACGTCGATGAGCTGTTTCTGTCCCTGCTTATGTCTCCAATAGAATAGAAAGATTGGAGTCGGCTATTTTTAACATATACGACAGTGAGCAACTTGGTTGCCTACCTTATCGAGGTGCCTGCTTGTGTCACCAACGTGCGTGCTTGCTTGCCATCATCTTCCAATTAGAGGGCTGTTGCCGTCCATAGCTTCCATCATACTCTTCCGATCATTAACAAAAGACTTCACATGGGGTTTTCCTCCTAGACTTTCCAACTCCAGGTTGATAGCCTTAGCCAGATACACGTTTTTCCACTAATCTCCTATACCACCGCCTCTTTTGTTTATTTTACTGTATATTTGAAAAACTCTTTCTTCTTCACGCCGACACCATGGCTCCATCTTCTGAAATTTTGAATCTACTATTCTCAATCACCAGTACAATAAACGACTCCCCGATCCATGTCGATAAGCTCTTTCCTCCTCCAATAGAACTGGCATTGGGCGGCCATTTTTAACGTATACTGTTCGCACCAACCAAATCACAGTTACCTTTCCTGACCTCATCCCGTCTGCATACTTCCTTGTTGGGTTTGGTTCCTCCCCGACGTTTCCCCCAAAGCTGCTCGCCACCTATTGCTTGGTTTCAGGCGCCATTATGAAACGTGGTGCTTCACCGATATATCTTATATTGCACCGCTTTTACTCCATATGACACCTCCAACTTTCGCAGGTGTGTCTATCCTTTGAGTCTCTTCTTCTTCATACCTTACTCTATCCTTCTATATTGATTTTCTTCTCCTTCTTCTCACTGTAACTAATATAAGTTCAATCTAAGAAAACAATCTTATAGTTTATTAGGGTATGAATTTTCTAATTTGGTGATTTATTTTTTTTTTCAATTTGGGATTAATCGATACCAGTGATTTGCTAGACTTCCTCAATGTTCTTTAGAGGTCCGTGCTAGCTAAAGAAGACGATTGAAGGATTTCCAATTAAGCACAGTCGGCTATGGTTATTGATTTTCTAGCAAAGAAAAAGGCAGGTGAGATAATTTGATTTTTTTTCATGTCTCAGCCAAAATCGGAGCTAGGGTTAAGTAATTAAATGTTGATGCTATTGTTGTGAAGCGTCTTCTCTCTTACCGATTTTACCATTCCTAATTTCAAATACTCTTATGTTGATGCGTGAATTACCATTGGGGGATAATTCCAATCAGGTGCGCTTTCTTTATCATCGTTCCTATTCCTTTTTGTTCAGGTAATCAGATGAAATATAGGAATACAATATAGAGTTAATCTGTTTGAAATGAGTTTCTTTGCCTTGTTCTTCGTCAATTTGGGTTTATTCTGTCATTTGTATCTAGGATTAAGTGAGAATTTTACATTGTTTGTAATCATATAGAATTTGCTTATGCAGTAATTGGTTTGGATGTAGTATTTATAACCAACTTACCCATTTTATGAGTTATAACGTGTGCTCTGTTGTATATATAAGCACTTTATGCTTTATGATGCTTGTAAATTCAAGGGCGATAATATTGGATGTTGCATAGTTGATATCGCCTCTTTCTTTGATTTATGAATTAGGGATCGATCATTAAGGGGTATCAAAATCAGGTACCATTTAATTTCATTGTTGGTCTAATTCCCACCCTGTTTGATATGGGTTCTAAATAGCGGACTTAGATTCAGGTGTTCTAATCGTCTCAATTATTTGTCAATTGATATCGCTTGTTTTGAAAGAAATCTGTATTTCATAGGTGATTGGGAAGTTCCTTGTTATTTCAGTATATATGAAGTATTAAAATTTGAACTAGGGTATCTGATGTGAATAAAAAAATAGATTACACTTCAAGCATGACCGGAAAAAATTAAGCACTGTGATAATTTACTTTTATGGTTCCTTTGCAGGTTAGAAAAGCATATAATATCCATCTTCACCGTGTTTATTAGGATTCGATGCGTGAAAATCTTATATTAACCAGGTAATTAACAGATATAATCTCTACCATTAATCCATGAACACGATTTGACAGGAGGAGCAATAAAAACAATAGTTTTCTCCTCAAGTTTTATTGAAGCATCAGTTTTCTTGTGAATTATGTAGTTTTTTTGGTACGACTTGTGATATAAATTAACTCACTAATGTAGTTTTTAGATTAGTTCTTGCATTCTTCTATAACACAACTTTAATCTGTGGCTTTTTAAGTTTATATGAATTTAGGATTCATTTTTGTTTGTGATAGTTGAATTAAAGAAGCAGAGCTCATGTTTCTTACAGTTGACCAACAAGATGGATCAATATATTGACTTCAAGGTACATTATCTTCAGTGACTTTTGACTTAATTTCTCCTGCATAAAGTTTGACAAATTTTTATTATGTAATTGAAGGTTAAAACAACGAACCCCAAGAAATATTGTGTTCGGTGGAACACTGGAATTGTATTCCTAATATGGATTAAAAATTTAAACTATGACTGTCTTAGTTACAGTTCCTGATATGCAATGCAAAGATTAGTTTCTCGTGCAAGCAGTTATTGCATCTAATGGGGTAACTAATAAGGTCATAACTGCTAACATGGTGAGTCATCCTTTTTTTTCATGAACTTTTGATAATGACTTGAAATCTAAAACTATCTTTAGATTTTGTAGTTCAGTGAAGAGGAGAAAAATGTTGTTGAGGAGTTCAAATTGAGGGTTGTAATCGTTCCTGCTAATCCTCCATCACTTGTTCCTGAAGAATCCGAAAAAGGTTTCTTCACCTAAGGGTGAAGATGGAAGTCGTATTCTTCATGACATGATGTTGTAAGCATTCTTTCGTTGTCTAAATTCATTTATTATTGAATTATTTATAAAAGCTTTGTATTTATTTGACTATATCAATGCTAGAAACCAAGATCCATGGAGCCCAAGGAGAAACTCTCTTTGGAGGTGATTATATATTTCATTCTTCTACAAAGCCTGGAAGGTTTTTTATTCTATAAAATGCTTATTTTCTTATTTCTTATTCTAAGGGTAAAAAATTTTAAATTAAAAAGAAGATTCCAATTTGCAAAAATGGAAACAAAGGGTAAAAATCAAACCAAGCTTGTATTTTTATGACTAAGTAAAAGGAAAATAAAGACTTAAATATTGGCATGCATTTATATTAGAGTAAGTTACATCTTTTGGTCCCTAATTATGGCCGATTTTTGCAATTTTATTTCCATAAAGTTTTCTCTTGCAACTTTGGTACTTACTTGAGATTCTTATAACGTTTTTGATTCATGTTCCAAGTAAAATTATTATTTTTGGTCCCCAAATATAACTGTTATTTGCAAATTTGGTCCCACAAATATAGTCATTTTATTTAGAACAAGGACTAAGACCATTACTAAAGCCTCATAAAATGACCAAATTACAATAGATAACCTTTTGGTACAAAAAAAAAAATGAAAAAATCAAATAAAATCAAAGACCAAAAATGTAATTTACTGCATGATTCATGAACCAGATTATTTTCTTGGTTTGGTGTTAAATAGTTTGATTTTTTGTCAAATGCCTAAAATGACAACCTACAAAAAAGAAAAAAAAAAAAAAAAAAAAAAAGGCAATGTTATGGACCTTAACAAGCATGCCTAGCGTGTATACATTCGTAGGCCATTTGAGGCGGTATATATTCTCCATTGTTGCCATGGAATTTATTTATGTTACATTCTTAAATAAAGTTTGAAGCACCAACAGGAACTGGTATGTCTTTTCCATCTTATTACCTACTTTTAAGTCCCTTACTATATTATGACAAAACGAGCTTTAAAATGTTTATTTTTCAGGTCTGCTGCTAAGACTATCCACTTGTTTCATCATCGAAAATTTCACTGATAATGGGGTTGGATCACCAATATTTGAAGCATTGTAGAAACACGGCAAGAAGGAAACAAGTTCCAGCCATGACCTTCTGATATGAAGGTAGTAAAGATCAACTCATCAAAGGCATGAAACAAATTGAGGATCATGTTTGCTTCTATGCAAATTGGGTTACATGTATTGTTTTTAGAAAACATATGTTGAATTGTGGAAGACAAAAAAGGGGTGTGACACGATCTTTACTCATTGTCTTCCAAGATGGGATCTGTCATCCAAGACTGGCTATGTCGATTGATGGTAAATTTGAAGTTTGGGAAGAAATGGTGTAAAATTTTTGACATGTTTGGATTGAAAAGGGAAAACCCAAGACTTGTAGGCTCCTCTTTCACTTGAATGATCTTGGGTATCCAGTTGAATCCTTGTGATTAGCTCAAAGTCTCTTGGTTATGTCCCTCACTGACCAGCTCAAAGTTTGTTGTAGGTTGTTGTATTTCTGTTGATTTTATTTGTTATATTCAAATTACATTACAGATACGTATGCTTCTTTGATTATATTTACACTCTGACGGGTCAAGACAATCACATAGACAAAATTTTGACATAGGTGTGGTAGATTTAGACATTTTACGGTTCAATTTACACTTTGTCTTTACGGAGATCAAACTCCGCCCTCACAATTGATTCTTGTAATCACGGCCCAATTAAGTTTACTAGTATATATATATATATATATATATATATATATATATATATATATATATATATATATATATATATATATATAACACTCCTCTTGGTTTGATGATATCTAAGTTTAATGAACACAAGATTAAGCAATTAACAACAAACAAAAGACCAACGACCTACATGTCAATTGTGTTTTCCTCAAAGTTTTTTTTATTCAATACTAAATATAACCGAACTCACAAACAAAGTCACCAAATACACAACCAACCACATTTCCCATAGTTTACACACCAATTGTAAGCACCTTCTTCTTTCTAAACAAAAGCTTCCTCAATATCTCAGTTCCTTTACCCCTCTTCTTACTAGGTACAATCGCCAAAGCACCAGGTACAACTCGTGTCTTACAACTTCCAACACGAACAACCGGTCCCGCTTTTCTCTCTGTCACACTCACCATCTCTTTCGTCTTCGGAGAGCTCACCGGATCCTCCTCACCACCGCCTTCTGCCGCCTCCATATGGTCACGTAAACATGAATGCCGCCTTGACTTCTGACCACCGGTCAACTCTGCCGCCACCGGTGGCGGTGGCGGTGCTAGTGCTTTTAACTGGCGGCCGATGCTAAATATTGTTTCTTGACACTCTGCTAGTTTTGCAGAAGCCGCTGTTATCTCCAATCCCTGTAAAAAAATGACTTAAAATTTTGTATTATTTTTACAAAATAAATAGACGTAAAATATTTAAAAATTATGTTATTGAAGTGTAATATGAATTTATACATACAAAAGAAATTAATTAAAAAGTTTCTTACAGTTTGGAGTGGCTTCGCCTCTTGCTTGACTTCTACATTTTCCGTATCATTGTCGGACAAACTGCATAATTTAAATATTAAATAAATCAAAAGTGAAAAATCGGATAAAGGGTAAAATAGTAATTTTCACCTTGCTAATTGAAGTTGTAATTCGAGACATGTTGCTTCTAATTCTTCACAACAATGACATCTATCTTCCAACTCGACTTTAAGAGACGATATCTTTTGATTCGCTTCGTTTATCTCATATCTAGCAACCGAAATTTGATGGTCAAGATCCTCGTTGACCAACTTTTGATTCTCCAATTGCTCCTCAATCATTGCTTTGGACTCTTTCACCCTTTCCAATTCTGTTTCCACCTCCGGAATCCCTCTTTCCGGTTCCGGAGATTTCCATGTAATGTAACCGCTAACGGAATCCTCACATTGTAAAGATTTTCTAATCTCGTTCAATACTTGATCGAAACTTCTTTCGGAAACACGGGTTTGTTCCGTAATCGCGTTTACAATGCTTGTTAACCAATCACCCGATGCCACGTGGACTAGATTACTTGCGTCACAAGAAACGATTTCTTTCCCTACGGAATCAAGATTACTTGTGTCGGAAGTAACGATTGCTAATTTCTCCATCTCGACAAAATCATCCATCAAACTCATATCCGTGTCTCCGATCATCGAACGTTGACTTTGACCCACGCGATTATTTTGACTTTGCAAAATGGAAATCTCGTCGTCTTTTTTTCTTATTATTTCTTTTAAAATCTTGTTTTCTTCTTCCACTTCGTATAACCGATTTATCAAAAACCCCATTCGTTTATCCAAACCTTCAAGACCTGACCCGGTGATTTGCTTTTTCACCAACAATCGAAGCTTCTGACATTCCGATTCCAACTTCGCTGCCCGTTTCATGCTTTCTCTCTGCTGCCCGGACGCCACGTCAGCACACCGGGTTTGTACCTCAAGCTCTCTTTCTAAGACCCGATATTCGTATTTCAAAATCCCGTTTTCTTTTTCGATTGAATCGAGGCGTGTGATTAGGTCGTTGAATTCGATCGTGGCTTGTGACATTTGATGGCTTATGTCTTCGATTAATTCATCTTTGATCATGAGGGTGTTGGAAAGTCGAGCGTTTTGGACCGTTAGATCTGCGAGATCTTTGTTTGACTCGTTGACTTTGTCTTCTAATCTTTTATTTGCCCTTTTGAGCTCTTCAATGGATTCATTTGCCATTTTTTGATCTTGCTCTTCTTTTAAAGAAGTTAGTTGTTGTCGATAATCTTTTAATGCAGAATTTAAGTGGATTAATCTCTCGTTAGCCTCTAATTTTTGTTTAATTGTGGATTCTAGTTCTTGATTTCGCAGAGCCAATTCTGCAACAACTTTCTCCCTCGCTGTTTAAACAAAAATAAAAAACGGACATGACATAACTTGACATGAAGTACTAGATTGATGTAAAAAGACAAAGAAGTTGCCCTAAAAGGTGGAAGAGGAGGGGTGGGAACTCACTCGGGATCTTTTGTAAGGGCAAAAGACGAAAATACCCCTTCTCCTAAAAAGTTTGTCAAATTCAGTTCGGTTCGGTTCAGTGTAATAAAAGTTGCAGCTTTTTTGTCTCACCAAAAAAGATGGAAAAGGTAAAGTAGGGACTCAATCCGGATCTTTTGTAAGGGAAAAAGACGAAAATACCCTTCTCCTAAAAAGTTTGTCAAACTCGGTTCAGTAAAAGCTGCAGCTTTTTTGTCTCACCTAAAAAGATGGAAAAGGTAGGGTAGGGACTCAATCCGGATCTTTTGTATGGGCAAAAGGCGAAAATACCCTTCTCCTAAAAAGTTTGTCAAATTCAGTTCGGTTCGGTTCAGTGTAATAAAAGTTGCAGCTTTTTGCCCCACCAAAAAAAGATGGAAAAGGTAGGGTAGGGACTCAATCCGGATCTTTTGTAAGGGCAAAAGACGAAAATACCCTTCTCCTAAAATGTTTGTCAAGTTTGTCAAATTCAGTTCAGTTCGGTTTCAGTGTAATAAAAGTTGTAGCTTTTTTGTCTCACCAAAAAAGATGGAAAAGGTAGGGTAGGGATTCAATCCGGATCTTTTGTAAGGGCAAAAGACGAAAATACCCCTTCTCCTAAAAAGTTTGTCAAACTCAGTTCAGTTCTGTTCAGTGTAACCTAAAAGATGGAAAAGGTAGGGTAGGGACTCAATCCGGATCTTTTGTAAGGGCAAAAGACGAAAATACCCCTTCTCCGAAAAGGTTTATCGGGTCTAATTCAGTTGAGTTCAGTGTAACAAACACGGGTTAAGATCTTTGAAATATTTAGAATAAGAGAGGTAATGATAACCTGTAATGGCTTCTTGTGCAGTTTTTGCATGTTTAGATATGAGGGCATCTTTGGAATTGCATTCACATAAGAGAGAAGCTATCTTTTCATGGAGGTTTTTCACAGTCCTCTCTAAAGCTGCTTCTTTATCATACTGAATCCTCTGTGTTATGTAAAACACAAACAACAAAATTAAAAACAGTTAAAAACTATATATTTTGTGGGAATTATTGATTTTGACAAGTAAACTTTGTCGTCCTTTTTGGTAAGGAAGAAGAACTATATTATTACATTAAATTTGAAGTAAAAATTAATGAGATATTATATTATATTAAATATACCTCTTCTTCATTTCCTTTTATAGAGATTCCAGCTTCACTGTCGATGGATTTATGGACAGATCTTTTTCTCCAAGACCATGTTTTTTGGTCCATGATTTACTGATCTGATGATAATAACACCACAAATTTCCAACTAAATACAAGGAGAAAAGAAAAAAAAGGGAAATAAAGTACGAAATTTTAAAAAATAATTCTTAATTAATAAAAAGGTTGCACCTTTATAAAGGGAAAAATGTTGCAACTCGTTAAAACCGGATATTAAGTTTTAACTCAAAGTTCTTATACAAATAGAAAAAGAAAAGTACATAAAGATCAAAGAATTGTTAGGTTGCTTTAGCTTAGGCTATCACTTTGGATCCATATAGAAGAAGAAAGATATATAAAGAAAAAGAACTCATATTCCAAGAATTTCTCCATTTAAGTGTCCCTACTGCATTAAGATATATTAATATAAACACTAAAAATAACTGATTTGTCTGTATCGAATGACTTGATGTAACCTCTTCATCTTCATTTTTAGTGTATTTAATTATATAAAGATTATTCTCTGTTCATCGTTGATGTCTGGTTTGTAGAAACTTTGAGTTAAAAGAACCCAAAAGCTTTCCACGATACTCACTCAAAGCATCCATGAAAGGAAAAAGAAAACAAGAACGCATCACAATGTTTCAGCCATTTCTGAACAAGTTGGGAAGATCTTGATGATCATATAAACCCAGGAGGAAAAAAATGAATGCAGTAAAACGAAACAAAAAATAGAAATAGAAATCTACAAATGTAGACAAATTAATTAAAAGGTTACCTGTATGAACCCAAATGAGATAAGATTGAGCGTGTCTTCACCTTCAAACAACCATGTACAGCTACGATATAAGTTAAAATTTGGTAGAGGACTTTCAACAAACACTTAGAGTGCAGCAGAGAATTGATACGATTTTGTGAAGAACTTCTGGTGGAAATGAGACAAACCCACCGACAGATGGATTGTTTTGATAAGGGTGAAGAAAGTGGTGGAAGAATTGAGTGGGAAAAAAAGAGTGTGGCCATGGCGAAAGGAGAGAAAAAGGAAAAGGCTCGACAAATAAAAGTCATCTCTTAGTACAGTGTCTCAGACACAGAGCCCCTGCGAGTGAACCCAAGCGGTGCCCGGTTGTGTAGCTCTGTATGTTTTCGGTTATTAAATTGTTGTTTATTAGCGAAGTGAAATACAGATATATGTATATCATAAGAATTGACAAAAGGATAATTATAATTTTGTTGAACATCTAATTATTTATTATTAATAATATATTAAATAACTCTAAATCGTTGTTGGTTTATCCTAATATTAGAAACTAAGAAGCATGAAATGAAAAGAAGACGAAATTCGTGTAAATGAGGTTGTTATATTTGAATATTGACATGTAACATAATATTAACTATATCATCTCTATCACCATGTTGATGCCATTGCTAACATTGGAGCCCATATCGGTTACCGGCTTCATTATATTGTCAAACAATATCTTTTTTCTGATGATATCTAATCGATCATTTTCACAGCCTCTCTCTCTCTCTACAATGTTGTCGATCTCATTCTCTCCATACAACTACTAAGGTTGCGTTTAGTTACAGAAAAACAATTTTCATTTTCCGTTTTTTGTTTTCCGTTTTCAATTTTCGTTTTCCGTTTTCATTTTTCATTGAAAAATTTAGAAAACACGTTTAGTTAAACTTATTCATTTTTCATTTTCAGTTTTAGAAAATTAGAAAACGTGTTTAAGTGTGTACTTTTCTATCGGTTTTCATTTTTTAAAAACGGTAGCGGTGGTAGGGTGTGGGTGGGGGCGGCGGCAATTGTGTCAGTGGTGGTGATGGTGGCGGCAGCGGTAGTGGTGGTGCTAGTGACGGGTTAGTGGTGGTGGTTGTGGTGGTGATGGTAGGTCGGTGATTGTCGTGGTGGTGTTGGGTGCGTGGGGGTGCGAGTGTTTGTTTGTGGAGGTAGGTGTAGTTTTTTATGTGTGTGTGTCTATAAGGGTGGGGGTGGGGGTAGGTGTGGGTTTGTGTATAGGTGGGTGGGTATGTATGTGTGTATGTGTGGATTGGTGTGTGTGTGTGTATGGGTGGGTATGTATGTGTGTGTGCGGGTGGGTGTGTGTGTGGGGGGTGGGTATGTATGTGTGTGTGTGTGGATGGGTATGTATGTGTATGTGTATGTGTGTGTATGTGTGTGTGCAGGTGTGTGTGTGTGCGGGTGTGGGTGTGTGTGTGTGTGTGGGTATGTATGTTTGTGTTTGTGGGTGGGTGGATATGTATGTGTGGGTTGGTGTGTGTGTGGGGGTGGGTATGTATGTATGTGTGTGTTTGTGGGTGTGTGTGTGGGTATGTATGTATGTGTGTGTGTGTGAGTGTTTATGGGTGGGTGGGTGGGTGTGTGGGGGGGGGGGGTATGTATGTTTGTGTGTGTGGGTTGGTGTGTGTGTGTGTGTATGTGTGAGTGGGTATGTATGTATGTGTGTGTGTTTGTGGGTGTGCAGGTGAATGTGTGTGGGGGTGGGTATGTATGTGTGTGTGTGTGTGTGGGGGGGGGGGTGGGGGTAGGTAGAGGTGGATGGGGTGAAGTGGGTGTGTGTTTATATTTTAGAAAAATTTTGGAATTAGAAAAATGTGGAAAACAATTATTATCAGTTTTCCAAAATTTTGCAACTTCTTTGTAATTTTAGAAAACGGAAAATTTTCATTTTCCGTAAAAAATTTAGAAAAATAGACGAACTAAACGCGTTTTCAAAATTCTCATTTTTCTTAGAAAAATTTTCCGGAAAACGGCCCATTTTTCCACAACTAAACGCACCCTAAACTTCTTTTCGATATCATTTACTTCCCACCATTGAACTCATTCTTATCTTCCCATAGTCGCTTTTTAGAGATTTTGTTTCTAAATTTTTATTTGTTTTAGTTTTAGGTTTTACATTCGCTAATATTCTGTTTGAATATTCGGTTCGATAAAAAAATGATGATAGTAGTGGTATATGTTGGTGGTAGGGGTGATTGTATTGGTAGTGGTACCATCAATGGATCCCAATTATTTTTTTATTGTAATTATTTTATTTTTTAATAAAAATAGTTATAAAAATAAGAAATACTAATTTAAAGAAAAAGACAAAAATGTGGACATTTTAGTGGTTTTTATGTACTTAAAGCAATGACATTAACGGTAACTTATATATATATATATATATATATATATATATATATATATATATATATATATATATATATATATATATATATATATATATATATATGGGAAAAGTGAATATACCCTTAAGTGTATATAACCTTAGGTACCTAAACTCGCAATAGTATGTTGTTTTGTATCATATGTGTACATTGTAATTGTCTAATGTTCTTATAATTCAACTTCTAACTTGATTTATTTCTAAGATTTTTATAAATTTCACATTTATCTTCCTCTTACATAATTTTCATTTTAAACTCTAATATACATAGTCTAATAGGCGTTCGGTAAAAAGAAGTGATATAAAAGGAAAACAATAGTGAAATTTCGAAAATCTTGAAAGTAAATCAAGTTAAGATTGAAGTTTAATAACATTATAATGATTATATATCAAACAAAACAACTAATTATAGTGAGTTTGGGTACCTAAGCTTATATATCCTTAAGGGTATATATATATATATATATATATATATATATATATATATATATATATATATATATATATATATATATATATATATATATATATAATTGCCAACCATTAAAATGAGTGGGGTCAAATTTTAGAAATTAAACTAAACTTGTACAAAACTTAATAACATGGAGACCAATCCCGTAATTTACTTTAGTATTTTATGGGGACCATTCATTTAATTTAAATGTGTTATTCATTTTTAATTTTATGAACCAAAATCGGTAAAAATGAAAAGAAAAAAGAGAAAGGAAGTGTTGGAGTGAAACAAAAAGGAGGGGACAGTAGGCGCAGCTACGTGTCAGTTTGTTATCATCATGGAGCGTCACTCAGCTAAGTGTACGAGTATTTTAGGCCCTCGATACAAATACAAAAAGATTTAACAAAAGTATATAATTTTGTATAACTTAATTATTTACAATATAATTATATTTTATGACTAATACTTTAATAATGACAAAAGTTATAACATAGATCAAAAGATAGATTTTATTTCATACTTAATGTATCGTTTAAACTTTTAAAAAGATAAAATTTAAATTTAATTAAATATTAATATATATCTATTTTATAGTAAATTAATATAATAAACGAATTCATATTCATATATAAGTAATAAAATAATAACTTTAATGAACGTCGACTATTATGAGACCAATAATAAAGATATGGTCTTACAAAAACATTTTCATATGTTACAGAATAATCATATATATTTGTAAAAATAGTAAGACTCGACATTTTGCTTATCTTTTGAAGCCTTTAAAGACTTTTATTATAAAACATAACATACATTGTCTTTTCTCAGCCCTGTTCTTATTTCTTGCGGAGACCCACATTATGCTTTTTAAAGTATATATGATAATAATCTTGCTAGTTTTGTTTTTATATAATTGTGTGTTACAAATGTTCGAATTTAATGATTTGTTTTATTAAAAGAATAATAAAAATATGTATCATTATTTTTCTTTTTTGAGTAAATTTCACTACTTAAAACTTTTATGAGGCATCGCTACTTTATGTCCATGTAGACGATATAAATCATGAGCTTTTGTAAGCTGAAATGGTCAAAAAGTGAAAAGGAATGAAATTAAAATGAGAAAGGTGGAACCAACAAAATCATGACCTCTAACGTTTATATCTACTTTTACTAAACAAAGGAATTTCAAGGCCATGTATCTAGTTAGAACTAAATTATACTGGATTCGAAAAATGGAAGATGTTGGAAGCGAAAATCGAATCGATCTACATTGATTAGGTATTGATTTGGTCTCTCTTTAAACTTAAAATAATGTTGTTTACTATTTGAGAAATAAATTGATGATTCGATCTTGGTTCTTTATTGGCACGAACAACAATTGGTTTTTGAAGAAAAATGTTTGATTGACAATTAAACCGAAAACTGTGTTTCTAACTAAAGTAGGGAATTGAACCGAATAGTCTATAGTCATTTTGGTTTGGTTAAGGTGTTGTTCTTTGGTGTTAAAAATCCCAATTGAGTTTTAAATGCACCTAAAGGTTTTTGAAAATGGATTATTCATAGTTAAAAGTATTTTGATAGCAATGATCCGGGTATTTTTTTTTTGGTAAAATAACAAGCCTCAAATAAAATATATTTGTTAATTGTGACTTGAGGTATTTGAATCATTCACATGGAGCATTTGAGTTCAGTGAAACACTTGGAATTCAATAGAATACTTGGACTTCAGGAAGAGTGCGACAAAGAAACAGATCATATGACAATGGAATGGATCATGTAACAAATGAACAGATCATATGACAATGACAAAGGAACGGATCATCATAAAAAGAGAATGAAGCACATGAGAAATTAATAGAGCACCTTAGAAGGTTGTGGAGCACCTCCGAAAGGAATGTAGCATCTGAGAAAGGTATGAAGCACTTGAGAAGGGATGGGAGCATCCTTGACGGCGGTGTAAACGTTGGGCTGGGCAACGTTAGAACGTTGGATCACAGATATTGAACATATATTGAATAGTAGAAAACAATATATAACATAAATATCACCTCCATTATGAATAAAAATAATACACTAGAATATGTTTTTGAAATACTATAATTTCTAATACAAAATGTGTCTCCACATCTATTGTTTATCACGTCTTCTAACTCTTTCGCCAAACTTGACGACTTTGGATAACATGTTGAGGATCCATCGCAACTTAGTTGGAGCTCTCAAGTATCTTACTTTTACATGGCCCGATATAATTTATGATAGATTCTTTTTTTAGTATGAAGGGTATTTTGGTTTTTTAACAAACAAGGGAAAGAATAAAATTGAATTCCTTCGAAACTTGGAAGAAATGATAAATTGCACGAACAGTTGAATCTAAG